TACAGAAAAGTATATGGTGTTTAGTTAGGAAAAATAGATATATTGTGTTATGAGGAAATATGAAACAAACAGATTAATACCAGTAGTTGGATAAGTGTTTTGTGCCTGTTTTAATTAATAATATGAAATTATGAATTTGTACGAAGTTATGGGTACTTTATTTTGGCCAAATAAACACATTACTGTTTATTTATATGTGCGACACTTTATGAAACTCATTGTTTTAGGTTATCAGTTTAGTGGCTTAACGTTAGTCCTTCCAAAAAATAACTATACAAAAGTTTCGTTTCAAAAGGCTTGCAAGCTGCTTCTCGTTACGTATGCTTCGTTTCATTACGTAGGTTCTGCTTTCTAGCTGATTCATCTGATGCACTGATTGATCTATGTCATATTTTAAATGGACATTTAAAGTACGCAGGCCCTGTATCTGTGTATGCCTGGATTTGGGCTCACTAGAATATATATATTAGTTTACAACTTGTCAGGCTTTTTTATCAGCAGTTCCTAATGAATTTTGACAAAAGTTTTGGAAAGATTCCTGAAGTATTTAGTGGTTTCTTAAAGAAACGGATAGAGTAGTTTAGTTAATGATAAAATAAAAGCAAAAGTTTTAGGTACAGATGTCACAAATCACGTGCGTTTCCCGAAGATTTATTAGGACGCATAAGCAGAACGAAGGGGGTGTTAAGAAGTAGGTTAAGACTGTTAAGAAATATCAAAATCTATCTTTGATAAAATTATACAAAGCTATGGTTTTGTTTGTTTGTTTTTGAATTTCGCGCAAAGCTACACGAGGGCTATCTGCGCTAGCCGTCCCTAATTTAGCAGTGTAAGACTAGAGCTAGTCATCAACACCAACCGCCAACTCTTGGGCTACTCTTTTACCAACGAATAGTGGGACTGACCGTCACTTTATAATTCCCCCACGGCTGAAAGGGCGAGCATGTTTGGTGGGACGGGGATTCGAACCCGCGACCCTCAGATTGCGAGGCGAGCGCCTTATCCATCTGGCCATGCCGAGCACAAAGCTATGGCGTCTTTATAAATTACAATACATCTTAGAAGTAACTTTTTGTAAGATTATTAGAGTAATGAATCTATGCAAACAATTAATATTCTGTAAACATAATAATGTATTCGAGAACAGAAGATAAGTAAACAATTGGAAATCATAACAAATCACAATAAAATGGTAGCACTCCAGCTGATATATATGAAAATATTTAGTTTAAAGTGTTCGTGAAGTTTATATAACTCGCGAGATAGAAAAGTAAAATAATTTGGGTTTACAAGAACAATAATGAAAAGGAAAAGTGTAGGGAAAAATAATGGCTTTAGGAACAATGCGGCAAAGATTTACAGAAAACTCACAGAGTAAAAAAAAAGCTTTTAAATAACCAAAACAATCGTATAGTAATAAGGCAGAGAACACGATAAAGTAATTACTTGATTATCCCACGGAACAGGATAATAAAATGTAATTTTTTAAAGAGTAAAGTTAAAAGACAGATATATGAATTTTGTTCAGTAAAACAATCGGAGAGGAAAAAATAGATAAGCCGAAAAAAAAAGAGAAGTGCATTTAAAGGCATTGAATTCAATGAATAAGTAGGTACTGAAAAAGGAAATCAAATTAGTTTGAAAATTACTAGGATGAATAAAAAAAGGGAAAAGTTTAAGAAACTAATAAATGTAAAACAAACGTATTCCACGAAATAAAAACGATCAATAAAAAATATTAATGATGAGAAAGAATAAAAATGCTTTTTTTTCAGAAGGACACAAGAATAGGTTAAATCAAAGACAAACTTAGATTCTGGGATAATCAAATTAATAACTGAATGGTTTGATTTATTTGTAAAAAACAAACCTTTTCGGTGGTTATGAAACAGTTGATTCGAGTTTAAGAGAAGGATCTGCTTTGAGAAATCTAAAGGACTTTGAACTTGTTTTGCAAAAAAAGATAGAAAATAGTGTCGTAGTGAATACGAATGCATGATCCTATTACAACTCAGCTAAATAATACCTTAACTTATTCACCATGCTCGTTTGATGTTTTAAATGCTTTAAAATTCTATGGTAATTTCCACTGCAAACAACGTCTTATCAGAAAAAATATTGATGCTTTAGGTAATTTTGATTTTTAAAAAATCAGTTAATGTAATGCGCTTCTTGTTGTTTGTTTGGATTATAGTAAAGCCACAATGGGTCATCTGCTATGTCCACCATAGGGAATCGAAACCCGGATTTTAGCGTTGTAAATTTATAAACTTACCGCTGTCCCACTTAGGGGGGAGGGTCTTTGTTTTTAATGTGATAAGTAGCTTTCAAAACAAGTAAAACAATAGTTATGGATAATCAAGAATCAGTTTTTACTTTTGATTAAACATTTTTCTTTAATGTAAAGGTAAGATATGTAGCAAATTTCTGATACTATTTCGCAAACATGATTATTCAGAGTATATATATACATAAATGCAACTAGAAAAATCCTTGATTTTTTTAATTCTGAGTTAGAGAAAGTTTATTTTAATAATTACCATAATAACTGTTGAACAATCGCCACGTCAAGATTTCTGAATAATTGTTTCATGATATGAAATCAATTTTGGATATTTCAGTTTTTTTGGGGGGTTTTAAATTAATGAAGAAGGATTTTTTTTTGTTCGACAAATCTTAACTAATGTGTATTAAACGTCGACATCGTGGTCTCGCTCTATTTTTAGGAGTCATTCTAAATACACTCAAAAGGATATAGTTATAGATTTGAAATATGATGTATTTCTAAGTCAATTGCTCGTGAACGAAAACTAGGATATATGAGATGTTTTCTATTTAGTTTTTTGTTTGTTGCTGGGATATCGTCATGTTGTAGATACGATCACAGGAAATTTAAATACTGCTCAAAGGGATACTATGCAAACATTTGAATTTTACAACTAATTAGTTAGTTCATACAGTCCACGAATACATGTTAAATATTTTACGTAGAAGAAAAGGGCGTCAACAGGTTATGAATATAACATTTAAAATAATTTTAAGTAGTAATGATTTTGTTCTGAAATCACCCAAGAAACTTCTACATTTTCTGACTAATTAAAAAAAAAGTACGAGAAAAGGAATGTAAGGTATGTAAGTCATTCAATAAGGGTTATACGAAATTAGGAAGCTATATAACTTAAGTTTTAATCAGTTGAATAGTTCTTTGTAGCTCTAGGTATTTAAATGAATTTCCATTTTTTGTATTGTTTGTTTGTTTGTTTTTAAATTTCGCGCAAAACTACATGAGGGCTATCTGCCCTAGCCGTCCCTAATTTAGCAGTGAATTACTAGAAGGAAGGCAGCTAGTCATCACCACCTACCGCCAACTCTCGGGTTACTCTTTTACCAACGAATAGTGGGATTGACAGTCACATTATAACGCCCCCACGGCTGAAAGGGCGAGCATGTTTGGTGCGACGGGGATTCGATCCCGCGACCCTCAGATTGCGAGTCGAGCACCTTATCCACTTTTTTTTTTTTGTAATGCAAGTAAAACGTCATTTGTTAAATAAATTGAAACTTTGGGACTGAGATAGAATACATAATTATAGCTTTCAGGAAACTGGAGTAAATCATTTTAATTAAAAATCTAAAAGACTAGTCTTATCTTACTCCAGAAAAGTATTTTTCTTTTTAATACGTTTGTAAGAAATTCATATTTAAGACCAATAACTCTTGCTAAAAAGCATTTGTATGAGTGTTTATTGAAAAATTGGAACCTTACATGAGACACAATTTGAATATGATTTTTTTCTTTGTTTGAAACGCATTTATTTATTGAATTAATTTATTTATTAAATATTATTTGAATGTCTAGAAAAACGGCTTTTAACATATTTCTAGCTTGTCTTAACTGACGTAAAAATAACAGTCTTACACGTGTAGTACATTAGCTAGCAGTATTTGTATAAAGTTATTACATTATATGTGTTTCATATTTGATATTCTTTCTAAATTTTTCTACATTTTTAATTCTTTCATCCAAAAATTATTGTTTGTTTGTTTGTAATTAAGCACAAAGCTACACAATGGGCTATCTGTGCTCTGCCAACCACGGGTATCGAAACCCGGATTCTAGCGTTGTAAGTCCGCAGACATACAGCTGTGCTACTGGGGATGGGGGGCAAAAATTATTACTTTCAAAATAAAAGGTTTAATTTTTAGTTATAAAATCCCATTATGCGTGTGTTTCAGAGGCAGTGTTTTATTTGATATTTCTATTTTTTATGTTGAAATTTTAGAGAACTGGCGTCATTAAAGACTACACATGATAATGATTTTGGTTTAATATCTTTCGTTAAGTTGTAAATTGTAAACATGATCTTTTGTAGCTCCAAAAACAGTGAGCACATATTACTACATAGTCCAATCTGATTTAATTCAATACTGTTTACACAAAATTAAACAATGTGGTATTAAGTAATCTTCAAATAACTAAATGGTATGGAAAACAACGCTCAAACTCTTGATTGAAATAAAATTGAATGTAATTTCAACACATGAGCATGTCATATTTTCAACATAATTTTCTCAATTACTTTTAAGCATATTAATAAAAGTTTATATGAAATAAGCATCTAATCTAAAAACAAAGCGCTGCCTATATTGTTAGTTTCATGGAACACTGAAAGCAACCTTTGGATCTGAGAATCCAAGATACTTTTACGTATCATGTTTATTTGTTCTTAGTCTGCTAAGTGTTACTTTGGATATTTAACAAACATCTTTTCTCTTCTAAACTCTGATGCTGTTTCCAACTTATTGCCAAATTCTGTCTTTCATTTAAGTAGTTTGACTACTTGGGAGTACTTATCTTTATTTTTCTTTCGTTGTTGTTTTCTGGTTTGTAGGACACCACACTGGTGATTGTACTTTTGTATAACCATAGGCTTTTTAGATTGTAAGAAAAGTTTCAACATTCTGAATGTTTAAAGCAGTCTTTGTTATTTATTCCTCAGATTATTTAAGATGACGGAATAATCTGCATACTTTCAACTAGATATTGAAGGATCCTTTGTAAATGAAGGTAATTCGATATATATATATATTATTTTTTGTTATGTTCTATAATTTTCTTATAAATCTTAATTTCCAAATCGCCATTGAAATAATAATTTTGGTGTTCCAAATGAGTAAATATGATCTTTAATCTACAGTGATATTTTATCCAAAACATACAGAAGGTTGATCATAGTTTATAAGAAAGATTTGAATATGGTAATACAATAACATGTCACCGTAGATTTGAGAAATGGTGTCACGGGCAACGTGCCCAGTATCCGATAATACACTGTTACGTGTAAGTTTATGAAATGAGATATACAGAGGTCAGTTAAAAATGTAAAAACACTTAACCTCAATGACCTACGTTATCTATGGTAGGTACTGTACTTTGTACGACTAACCAATTTGTTACGTAACTATGTTTCTATTACACTCGCACTCCTATATAGTAATTGCCCTACTGCAATTCAGTTTCAGACAAAACAGGCAAGACAGTCGATCTGTTAGACATCCAAAGAGACATAACATTTGGAAGACTGTTGTGTTCGAGATTTTAAACCAAATGGACAAATGTTCGAGAGGAACATTCATCTGGGAACTGAATAACGAACAATTCACAAAATCTCAACCACTTATGACAACAGCGGTATGAAGTCTATCATAAGTGGTCGGGTTTCCAAGTATTATATAAGACTATTCAAAAATTAAGAACATGGGAACAAAAGAAATAGGAGTAAATATAACTAAGCTACAACTTATATCAGTGATAACTGTACGTTGAAAACTTCACAAGTTAAGATATCAGTAGCCGGGCAAATCCACAACCCATTTATATTCTTCAATGCAGGTCGTCTCATTCAATGTAGCAATAACCATAAGACTTGGACACAGAAGCAAGAAGAATTGTAGTATGGTCAGATTAAACATCATTTGCTCTTTTCCCATCGAATAGTTGTGTTTATGTATGAAAGCAGACAGAGGATCCATACAACCTTGATTGTTTTATTTTTACTGCCCAAAGAGCTGGTGGTTCCATCATGATCTGAGCAGCATGCTGCGGGCATGGTCTTGATCGTATAATGTCTACGAAGAGCAGACTACGAGCAAACCATTATCTGGGGACTGTTGTAGATCATTTATTACCCACGATGCACTTTATGTTATGCAGAAGGGTATGAGTGGCTCCATGACGATAGTGTACCTATAAGCACCATATTGCTACAAAGGTGAGCCATCTGATATTCATAGTCATGGCAATGAAGCTACATATCTTTTGGATCCGCTAACAAAATTATAAACAAGAGCTTGAAGGCTTACAGGCTTTCTGTCGCAGCTAAAATTAAAGGCCGTTTTCATGACAAATATGGCCAAGGATATTGGAAACTCACCAATCTCATTTCACCACATGTCTTTCAACTCCGTCAATGGACATCTTCAGTTTTGACTTAAGGTTGTCTTGGAAAACGACGTCCAGGTATTAATACAACGGAGAGTCTGTGAAAAAAACTTCAAGATATGTGGTTTCAAATTGATCTTTTCCGGAAGTTTTACAGAATTGAAACTGTAATGTTAAGCAGTAGTCCGCTGTATCTGCTATCGGAGCGAACACGAGCGGCAATGGAGTAAGTAGTTTTAAAGGTTGTACGGGATATCGCTTTTATAAATTGCGATTAACCCTGAGTATTTATGTTTTTGTCCAGTATTGTGAAAATGTTCCTTAAGGAGATTTATTTAGTCTAATGATCGCTTGTGTCCAGTCAATTTTGTTATTCTGAAAAAGAAGGAAGAGATAAAACTGTCAGTACGTAGTGGTATTATATGTGTAGTGGAAATATTGTAACTGGTTAGTGGGTAATATAAACAAATTACACGATTTTAAACCTACAGAATTTATCAATGAAAAGCAATAATAATAACAAAAGGTTAACATGTAAAAAGTTTAAATGAAGAAACTGGCAGATGCTATAGAATTATGGATATTGCATGATTACTGTCTGAAATCTTTCAATACAGTAGAAACACCAAAAAATCATATCTTTTCAATAGTTGCATTAAATGTTATATGAAATTGGATTATAATATTTACAAAACTTTGGAAAAGCATAACGTTAATTATTGGAAGATATTAATAAATTACAGCTTGAGTAACTTTGTTTTGAACTACAAATAAGTTATCTGTCTGTCTGCCTTTCTGTCTTCTCTCTATCCATCTTTAATTGACAGGACTGTGGTCCGGCATGGCCGGGTGGTTAGGGCGCTCGATTCGCAATCTGAGGGTCGCGAGCTCGAATCCCCGTCACACCAAACATTCTCGCTCGTTCAGTCGTGGGGCGTTATAATGTGACGGTCAATCTCACTATTCGTTGGTAAAAGAGTAGCCCAAGAGTTGGCGGTGGGTGGTGATGACTACTGCCTTCCCTCTAGTCTTACGCTGCTAAATTAGGGACGGCTAGCGCAGATAGCCCTCGTGTAGCTTTGCGCGAAAATAAAAACAAACAGACAGGACTGTACTGGTGTTTTGCAGTAGAAGTACACCTTTTACTTCATTCTTTCATGTGGATCAGTTACTTTCCTAGCCAAAATAACCTCGAGTATAACCAAGGCAGCAAGATTAGTGAACAACAATACCTTCGTTACCTGTGTTGTCGAAAGAGTTATAAGATACTATATGAAACAATAGGCTGAATTATCAATTTTTTTCTAGGCAACCTGGGATAATAAAACAATTACTGTATCTGTGTTATGTTTAATGCCCAATAAATTCTGGTGTTTTATATGGAAAAATTCTTCGTTGATTTCACTTACGTATATTCACTCTACGTATATTCTTCTTAACATGTTTAATATAAATATGAAATTAATTTACTGATAAAAAAAAGGAAATTCCAATGAAATTGATATTGCTTAAATTCGCTTAAGAGATCTCAGCCTAAACTCCAAATCCTGAAAATACAAACACGTTGTTTAGTATTATCTTGAAACAAAATAATTAGAGGTGTCCTACTGAATACGCTAAAATAATAAAAGATATAAAATAGGATGTTATGAAAATATATGTTGAAAAGTAGACAGGTTTCTTCTGAAGTTCACTCGGATATCATCAAGCATTATTTTTAAGTATTATATTGCACAAAGCTTATAAGTAGCTAATAGCAATTTATCAAATACTTTTATTCAGTATAAACGGGACGGAAAGACTAATTTCAAGTAGCTGGGCTTGTCTCGTCGTTCCCGTGTTATGCTTGAATAAATCTTCAGGAGAAAGGGAGAAGTTTGGGAGTAAGAACTATATAAGAACATTTAAGGTAGGGTGTATAGTTCTATTTTACATCTTATAGTTCTATTTAGTTCTATTTAATATGTTATAGTTCTATTTAATATCTTATAGTTCTATTTAGTTATATCTAATATCTTATAGTTCTATTTAGTTATATCTAATATCTTATAGTTCTATTTAGTTATATCTAATATCTTATAGTTCTATTTAGTTATATCTAATATCTTATAGTTCTATTTAGTTATATCTAATATCTTATAGTTATATTTAATATCTTATAGTTCTATTTAGTTCTATGTAATATCTTATAGTTCTATTTAGTTCTATGTAATATCTTATAGTTCTATTTAGTTCTATGTAATATCTTATAGTTCTATTTAGTT